TTTTTTGAATAGGAGTATATACAAAACGTCACAAACATACATCATTCTGTATATTATCTCAGGGTAAATGTTTTATTAGTATTTGTCACTCTCTTTTTCCTTTGTATTTGCAACCCTATTTTTCCTTTTCCCTCTCAACAACAAACACCACGAATAAATTGCAATCAAACCGTAAATGGAAAATAAAATGGTTGCGGAACTCCGTATTCTCCAGGTCTGACACCGTCTATGTACCACGTGATCAAAAGATAGATGGCACTATCTACCCAGAGCATCAAGATGGCGTCACCGAAGGAAAAATTCCCATCGACTGTTGGTGGTTTTGTGAAGGTATTCCACTTAACTCCTTTACCTGAATAGTGTTGTCAGAAACAAATATCACCTGATATCAAGTATTTTGATAAACCTTTCTTTAAGAAATAAAAATTAAAATATTAAATAAGGAACATATGTATTTTAAAAAACTTGAACAGAATATGTTGAAAGCATATGTATTAAGCAATACATTGAAGAATACCGTATAAGTGGAAATTTTAGCGAGACTCAAATTTAGCGATTTGTCCTTAAAAACAGGTAATTTATTTTTAGCGAGATATTATTTTAGCGATTTTAAAATGCACATTAAAGAAGCTATTACAAATAAAACACAATTAATTTTAGCGATATTCAATTTTAGCGATCTCGGCACCCTCGCTAATAATGCCAAAATTAAATCTTCACTAAAAATTCTACTTATACGGTATACAAAATTCTAAGGAGCTGATACCTGTCACTTCATATTCTGATACCGATGTAAAACCAAACGCCATAGCCATGTTGTTTATTAAGCATATCGCCATCTTCTGAGACCGCGTCATATCTTCGTACTTCGAATCCAAGGCAAAGTTTGGAATTATTGTAGCAAAGAAGAAAAACCCAGCAAAATACGATGCTGTATTCGCTAAAAGAGAAACAAATCGTCAAACTGTTATATTGCTTATGATTCAAACAACTGGCATTGCTTAATCCAATGTAACAGCTAGAGGTACTTCTATAAAAATAATTTTAAATTTGTTTATAGACAAGATCACAATTGTTGTAAGTTATATTATGTCTTATATATTAAATGGCAAGCAATAAACAAATTCAGCCAGTTTTAAAATTTTAGCCAAAAGAGAATAGTTTCACAGTATTTAAAAAAATGTCACATCAGATTATGAACAATGTATCATTATGGATTTCTTTTTAAAAAGGGTTGTGCAATGAAAAAAAATCATGCTTTTTCATGTTCACTTACCTTTCTTTTGCCCACTTGGCACAGTCATTAGAGCGTAGCTAGAGTCGCAAAGTAAGGAGTTGTCCTTACGTCGTGGGTTCGAATCCCACTGTGGGACGTGGAGACCGGTCCTTCGGATAAGACCGTTTAAATCGAGGTCGCAGTTGGAGTTGGCACGAAAAAGATCCCTTAATACTCCATGGCCTTAGTGTCGAGTATAGGGAAAGAATTGCAGCTCTCCATCGGAATGATGGCGTCTCCATATGGGTGAAAAATTCTCGAGAGAGACATTAAACAACAATTAAACAAACAAAAAACACTTACCTTTGTTAAAAAATGTGCTGAACAAAAAGCAGTAGGACACGACAGAGACTGCGTAGGACAGATAGAAGAAGAAAAGTAAAGAGGAGTCCGAGAATTGGAACATCTTGTTGGGTCCAGCCTGAAAGATGAGAACAGTGATGGCGAAGGTGATGATCAGATAGATAAATCCTTTAAAAAACCAGGAGAACCAGTAAACAAAGGAACTCAGTCCCATCATCCTCATGGTTTCCTGTAAAAAAAAAAAACATCAATAAAATAGGAAGTCAATGTTTCATCATATTTTTACAGAGACATCTTTGGAATGTAGATTTAAATTTGCTCAAATCTTATGCCCCAAGGATATGGGGATGAAGATAATTTTCTTTACTTGAAAAATTTCAGGGAAAATATTTAGAACTCCTTTGATATGGATTACATTAAGGATATATGGATGAAGTCAGTGTGGATTTAACTTTGTTCAAATCACCCCCCCCCCTTTTCTGTTGGGGAAAGGAAGGTAGGTTGGGACTACTTATATATTTTTATCTTTTCAATACCAAACTGATTTCTGCTTTTCTATAGCCAAAATGCTTTGGTGAGGGAGGTGGCCTATTGCTCAAAATATTTCAAATCTCTCACAATATTGTATTCCGATCAGCATGAAAAATATACTAAGATATTGCGTAAGCTACGTACCTTCAGCTTCTTTTCTCTGTCATACACGATTTCTTTCGTTAGCTGTAAGGCCGACAGAATAAGGCCCAGGACGGTTGTTGTAGAAACAGATATCCTGATAAACTGTCCCATCGTGTTCTCCAGATATGGCGGGTAGGGCATTCGCTGTGTATTGATATCCATCAGATTGACGGAGGAATTGAAATACTTGATTATCGCAGCATCTATAGCATGTTTGATTCCTAAGAAGCCTCGGCCCGTGTATTCTGAACAGTGATAATTAATAATCCATTAAGTAAGGCATATATTTATATTTGTATATCATTTATATGTTACTCATGAGAAAGGTGTTCGAATATGTGCTTCAAAATAAATTTGTTAGTATGGCTAGATGACATTAAATAATTTGTTTCGTAAGCAGTCAATATGATTTGGACATTGTACTCAGAGCAAGCGCACCAAACTATCGTTCACATTTACACACACCATCGTAGCATTTATCGGAAGAAGATTTCAATTATTATTCTCCATTTATGGGGCAACTTCAACCTAAACTAATTGCCCATTTATCTGACAACATTGGACTTACGATACTCCCATGCAGGTCCAGGGTTAAAAGATTTATCAGCGAATTTTTCTTCAGTTTTCCACTCTCCACTCATACGCAGGGAGTAGGATATAGCATCTGGGAGAACGGAGTTGTAGGAATGAGACGGGTCAAATACGATTCCTGTGACATCATAGTAAGACCCGTACCCGTAATCATTGTCAGATCGACGTAAATATTCTAACAGATCGGCTTCACTGGCAAACCCTGAAATCAAACGACTGGATAGTTGAGCAATTTATGTTCTTTACTGGATACTAGCACAATATATGACAAAATAAAATTTAGCAGTTTTTATCGCTATATCTGAATAGTGATTTTTACAGCACGTTATTTTTATTATTTCACTTTTTTTTCAGATAATTGAAAGTTGTGAGCAAAATTAATGCATATTAATTTTAGCTTAAAAATAATTCATAGCTAAAGATTTAATAATCATATCATAAATTTTCTCCAAATTGCAAATTCATCATAAACAAGAGGCCCATGGGCCTTATAGGTCACCTGAGTATCATGCAACAACTTTCCAACGATTGAATTTGATTCATGTTTTAAACCAGAGGCCATGAAATTCACAATTTTGAAAGAGGCACCATTGCTTATCATAATCATACACTCAGCATGCTTACTTTGGTTACTTAATACCCAGAGGTATCTCAAAGTAACAAAGAGAAAATGCATTTTCCACTTTATCAGTTGTGCACCCCATCCCACAGGAACCACTGACCCTGGGGCCACATCTTTCAAAATTTTGGAAATTTTATGGAACGCCATCACTGCCTTATAGCAGAACACTACTATTGCATTGTGTCAACCTTCCATTACATTATGTCAACTCTTTATGACATTAACCCACCCTACTATTGCATTGTGCCAACCTTCCATTACATTATGTCAACTCTTTATGACGTTACATGTAACCCACACTACTATTGCATTGTGTCAACCTTCCATTACATTATGTCAACTCTTCATGACATTAACCCACCCTACTATTGCATTGTGCCAACCTTCTATTACATTATGTCAACTCTTTATGACATTAACCCACACTACTATTGCATCGTGTTAACTTTCCTTTACATTATATCAACTCTTTATGACATTTACACATACTACAATTTTATTTCGTCAACTTGCATTTCGTTATGTTTACTTTTCATGACAATCTTAGTTTCTATTAACTGATGTGAAAAGCTCATGCCATACTGTGCGCACTCTTTTACATTATGTCGATTCACTATTACGTTATGCGAACGCGGGTATCCTCGGCCTTTATATGAGCATAACGTATTTTCCGCGTTCCGCAAGCACTAAAATGGCGGGAGAGAAAACTGTCGTAGAAGAGATTCTCAGCGATTTCGGAATGACATCTTTAATGAAAACTTTAAGGTAGGATTCTTCTCATATTTCTTGTATTTAAAAATTAATGAAATTTTCACAGAATCAAGAAGACAATATCAGTAAGTGATAGTATCAGTGAGATTAAATTTGACCGTTTTATATTAGAGGCAAGGTCAGGTCAAGGTCATTATCTTTTTCCTTGACATTATGAATAAAAAAATACTTTTGCCAATCATGTGATGCCTACTTCTATTTCAAAAGTTTAAAGATTGTTCTTTTTGCATAAAAAGATATTACTATATCGGGTCTATAGCATCATATTACCAAACTTACATAAATAATTTAACTAAACTGGATATTGGCTAATCCGAATTTTCTCTGTTTTTCCTAATATCTTAGGATAAATCAGTTATTTTCATATACTTCCTATATTTAACTTTTTTTTATTTTCACATATAATAAAGTAGTCTTATAAATGTACAAAATGATACAAAAACAAAAAGTTTTGATCGTTTACTAAGAGAGAAAAAATACTTTTTATGGATTTTTGGCTCAAAACTGTACTTTGATTGGAATCATTTAAAAGTTAACATAGTTCTAGTTTGTTTGGAAAATCATATTTATTTGATATATTTTGAAAGTTTAGTCCCTTATCATAAATTTAACTTACATTTGAAAAATTCTTCAAGTCCTTCGATCATTGTGTAAAAGTTATAATTAAATTCAATGTTCTATTATAATTTTGAGAGGCAGAAAAGAAGATATTTTCATACGCCACCATTCCGCCAAAAATATAGTCCCTGCTAGTTTTCAAGCGCAGTTTACCTTTTCTATTTAAAGTTGTACATTTGTGATGAGGAAAGAAAAATATGGTCTTTTAAATCCCTTACACCTAAATATATAAGACATATAAGCAAATATACTTTGAATGTTTCATCTAGTCAGAAACCAGAGAAGAATCCTACCTTAAGCGACAAATGATTGACAATCTTGAAACATGCAAAGCCTTAACACTGCGACTGTGAATTAAAGTCACGTCGAAATTCAATGGTGTTTACTTTAATCTGATAATTAAATAAATCAAATATTTTGAGTCGTGCAGCAATCATTTTTTTCTTTTTATTTTGAATTGTTTTTTTTTTTTATATAAAAGTCTTAAACTTTGTAGGACATTGCATTAGTTTCACATTAAGTTTAGCTGAATTAGACGTGACTGGTCAGTGCAATGGCCGTGTAAAAAATCAG